TCCCTTCAATTGGAGAGGCGGTACCTCTTGGAGTACCGCCTGGGTTACATATGTAAGTGCTACCAAGGTGTGTCATGGTGATATAGGATTTGATCCTAAATACCCTTATGACTTCTCATACATTTGACCTCCCAACAAGCATCAATTTGCCAGTTTCATTTGCACACAATGACCAGATTATTTCACCAGAAAAACAACTTTCATGTTACTGGCAATGGCTGCTGTCTCAAACAGATAGCCAGAAGGCTTGCTCACCTCTCCCACATTTTGGAAGACTCACCCAGAAGATAATGTGAGAAGAAGAAAAGACGATAGTTCTAATTCTGTGCTGGGTAAGGAGACTAGGCAGACACGGTTCTTTGGGTAAATGTAGTATCTTTTACTAGAACAGCTAAATAGTTGGAAAAAATATTCTTTGCAAGCTTTTCGGCAGAAACATCCTTCTTCAGGCACAGGGCGTTTGCTGGTGTGTTGTATGCTCTCCTGCATAGAATAGAAGCCAATATACAAAATGCAGGTCTGTGAAAATGCATGTGAAATAAGTAAGGAGACTAGCATTAAAGTTTCTACTGCCTTGACCAATAAAACTTGGCCTACTTTACTAAATTGTCAGTTGTCAAAGTGTTATCTGATAATTGTCTTCCTTTTAACTGCTTCTTATTTCATCCTGCCAGCTGTGGTAGTTTGTAATGAATTACATTTCAGTCATTTAACAACCTGTTTATTCTAAAAAGTCATACAACTTATCGTTAACTGTGGGTTTATTGCTAATAATTTGCTGTAGTTGTTTCTTCAACTTTAGAAGAACTGATCTGCTGGCTGAAATTAACTTCAGGACTTAATCCTGAATCCACTAATAATAACAGGAATAGGCAGAGTCCATTCATGAAGAATTGGGAGAGAAGCTGTTAACAAAAGAAAATGATCTGGTAGAAAATTTCATTTATCGCAAGGGAACAAGAAGTAGAGTGCAAAATAAATAGAAGTATATACAAAATATTTTAAAATTATTTTCACAGAATAGACACTAAATGAGAACCCTTTTTTTATAGAGGACGATAGAGAGTTATGTGGACAAACGCATGGGTAGTACTTATGGACCACCAGGAGGCAGAAAAATGACTGTATTTGTTGATGATATTAATATGCCAATTATCAATGAATGGGGTGATCAGGTATCATTCAAAATTTAATATTTTAATATATTACTAAATATATTCTAAAGTAACTTCAGATTTAATTATTTGTGT